AATTTACTCGGTTTAAATGCAAACCTCGAGTGTAATTCGGCAGGACAATTTAACGAACAAGAAATTCACCAAACTAGTCAATTATTGACAGACGTCAAACTAGTCATATGGAAAAGGATAATGCGATAATTGGTGCGAAAATGAATAAGTGAAAAAACCACTAGTGCATTTGTCGCTGGAAAAGTTGCAGGTAACTTTTGCCGCTGTCAAAGTGACAATTTCACTGCGGCTTATGCGATTTTTTATACATGAGTTGAATTGTCGCTGTAATTGAGCGATAATTGCACACCTCATATGGCATTTATGACATATGAGGGAAATATTCCATAAAAGTAAAGCAGAAATTAAAATATATATATATATTACAGCCTTAATGAGCAGATCGGCGAAATTTTATCTTGAAATGGACATAACCAGCAAGTACTCTTAATGGCAAAAAAATTCGCCTAAATCGCATTAGATGAATAATATTCTTGAATTACGGAGAAAATGTCAAATCAGCTAACTACAAAAGCACCCTGGAAATTGAAATAATTATTGCACTCTTCATGCGCTGCACGCGAATTTCCACTTCCAACTGGGTATGACAAGAGGGTTCTGTAAGTATACTAGATGTTAAATTCCACATGTATTGTATTTTTTAATATTAGGATGTCGCTCGGAACTATTTTAGAAATCAGATCAGACATTCTAAGGAGGCAAATGCGATGAAGAACAGTGGTAGGTCAAACTGAGGAGTAGTTGCAGCTAATTATACGGTATTAATGGCCTGCAGGGCTTTTGTCAAGAAAATTTACCCTTAATTTGAAAGATAAAGGAATAATGGGATTGCACCACAAAATTATTATTATTTTTGATTATTTCTTGTGTTCCTGCTGTAGAGGCGACTCTTCTGATGTTTTCTATGGTGCAGTCGTCGATTTGTTGGTATACCGACTGGCGCACGTGTTCTTTGACGGTGGTGTTTGCGAGATCAGCTCTTAGCGTGTCGTTTCTTATAAACCATGGTAATTTGGTGCTGCTTCTATTCTTCTCTCGTTGGTAGCTGACACGCAGCATCGCCTTGATTCCCATAATTCGCCCCGGTTCCTTCTCCACTTCTTGGTTGTCCTCATCTATGGTTGGGTGTAGAGTGAACACTTGTTGCAGAGTTGAGGCGAAGAATTCTGATGGCAGCCCACTCTTCATTGTCCCTCCTTATGGGCTGCCTGCGTGCCCGGCCGGAGGTATGGTTTTCGGTATTGCTCCGGTTTTGTGAGGTTTAGTGGTGGTTACGGGCTCTCTTGAAAATTTGACGATAGCTGGTGTAATATGTTAGGTCACTGGATCCTGCAGCTTAGCCACGCGCCGTTTTTGGTGGACGTTTTCTTGTAGCTGGCCATTTTCTCTCATCCTTTATCATCGGAGGAGGATGTCGTTTCACCTGCCGGTGGCGAGAAGTGGGACGTGTGGTTTATCGTGGACACGTTGTTATTTGTCCAATTCTGCCGCGTATGCGGAGCATCTTCTGAAGCTTTGGGCAATTCGCAGTTTTATTTTGGCACGGCGGACACATCGGAGCGAGTATCCGCTGGAATGCCCTAAACGTTAGCACTTGAAGTACCGCGGGAATTCCTTCATAGATCTGAACGCTTCTACTTTAACGCCATCCGTGATGTTGTACATAGGGCTGGATCCGGCCAGGTTCGGGATTGTGGCGAGGAACATGTTACTGTTCTCGCGACTCCTTTCTTGTAGCTTCTTTAAGGTTTACGCAAACCTACGCGGTCGCGGTCGCGGTGGCGGACAATAGAATGCACACACTTTATACGGGCAACGCATACTGAAGAGTTCGAGCGGTGGCGGTGGAGATCAGTGCAGCGAACAAACGCGGCGATCTAGAGCGGTGGCGGGCGACCGCTGCACTCACAGTTAGCCCGCCAGTTCGCGCTGCATGTCTCGAAAGAAAATGACAGAACAACTAATTGACTTAGTGAGAGGAAATGCAATTTTATACGACCTTACATGTAAGGAGTATAAAAATATCAAAAAAAGATAAGGTATGGGATGAATTGGCCATGATACTGGACAAACCTGGTGAAGGTGTATTTGTTTATAGTTTTAGTACATTGTTAGGCATTAAAAAAAGAAACAAATCTATCCCGTACTTCAAATCCATATTTCAATCAATTGGTAGTGTGCGTAAAAAAACATATGATCTCGCGGATTGAACGCCCTAGTGTGCGGCTTCACGTTCGCCACCGCTATCGCCACCGCGACCGCGACCGCTACCGCGTAGGTTTGCGTATACCTTTATGTAGGTGGGATGGAAACCCGTTTCGTCAGCTGTTCTCAATCGGAAGAGGGTGGTGGTATTTCTGCCAACTCCGTCTCGACGGCATTATCATCGTCCGGAGGTTGCGCGACTGCTGGTGTGATGTCTGCTGATGCAGTGGTGTGGTATGGATTGATCTCCATGGTGGTTGGTGGTGTAGCGGTAGCCCTGTCGGGCATTGCTCTGAAAAGAACACTTTGCTCGCTAACGAATTCTTTTCTACTCCTCGCAAAGTAGTGATCTGTTCCGAGTAATTACCGAGCGGCACGAGTGGTTGCGGCTGCTTAATTGCATTTGAGTGCGTGGGGTTTTCTCTATTGATGTCTGCACAGAGCTGTCTTAGAGTTACTTGGAAGACCAATTCACCAATTTGAATAATTAGGCTATGAGGGATTGACTTCTTAGCCCTTTAATAGGGATTACCTGCTGGTGCCAAGTTTTTGATCGGCAACCTTAGTTCAAAACCACCTACATTTAAGACAGTGGAGGTTACTGCATTATGTTAGAAGCTATTAAAAAATTTTACACTGGAAATTAGGTCATTGAAGGATAAAGAGAATTTATTCCCAACGAAGAAGCAATGTGATACACCAACAATAAAATGTATAAAATATGGTGCTTACAGTAAAATCGCTTTAATGTATTCCCAGTGGTATGTTATCCCTTTAAATTGACAAATGTAGACATTTTTAGAGCGAACGTTATTACACATGAACGTGGGATTGCAGTGGGACTGTTACGTTCAATGGCATATGATCTGATGAACAAATAATAAAATTGAACACTGACAGGGGCAAATAATAACAGAAGTAGTTTGGGAAACTTTGATGATATTGCAATCTCGATGTGCAACTATGCGAAATTTTACTTTTACTTGATCATGATCGGCAAGTTTGGCAAGCGCTATTTTATTTTACTGAAAGACCCAATCCACATTTGTATTTAAAACAAGGTGGTGTACGTTTTTGATGAAATGATTAAGGACAGGGTTTGATTCTTAACAATGGTGAACGTATACAGTATATATTGGGAGATTGCATTAATAGGCGACCGTGAATGAATTGAGCCGTCTTCTCGTTTACGTGTTTTTTTAGTGCGGTTCAATTTATTTTTATTTATAATTCCAAAAGTAGCGTTAATTACCTCTCTCAACTTTCAGCGTTGAATATTTAAATGTACTATTTAACATATTATTTAAAGTACATTTTACGAAGTTAATTTCGTGGCCTAATTTCTACCGATTGTCTTCTGAATCTTAATTTGCGAAATTTAAATAATTATTTCGGAGGTTCTGGTTTTGTGACAGAAAGGGAAAGCGTTCACATTTCTTATTCCCTCACTTTGGAAGGTACGATAAAGTTATTGCGGGTAAAATTCTCATCTTAGTATAATTTGTACTGTAAACTATGATATAAAGTATTAATTCCGGCCGCTGTTCGATTAACAATGCTATTAAATATTTACAAGTTACGGTGTTGGCGTTTACATATAATTTACACTTGTCTCCAGCAAAACCATACTTCATATAAAATGGATAAGTTGTAGTTAAATGAGGTTGTATCAGTTAAACATTAAAGTCTTTTTGTCCGTCAAGCGTCAGTGATGTACAAGATGACTGACTATTCATCAGCCACTTCCCTATAATTTACCGTGAACTATGTATACCTTACCTAAGTAAATTCTATGTACAGACTGCGCCGAATTTTCTTTGTAAATAAGGGAATAAAAGGTTTTTAAATTTTAACATATAAGAACTAATATAAACGATTCCATCATCTGGATCTCTCAATCCACATAAACAGTGGCCATCAGTGCTGTTCCACTGAAGCGAATTACAATATCATCCATGACCAAGGTGTGTCTCTTACTACAACGTTACAAGCAAGTTAATGTTTCAAATTACCTTTAACAAACCCCAAGTTTTAAACTTACGCTACAACCCCGATTTTCAAGTTAATTTAAATTTGCCTTATATCTAACAAAGATTGAATTAATGTAGCACAATAACTTAAACCAAACTACTGAAACTTTCCTGCAAACGGATATCTGCGGAGCCGTAATTGTAATTTTGTGTCTTAAAAGGTTAAACGTGCATGTATCTCTCCCTTGCACACGTCTCATCGGAAAGCTTTATAAATGTTTATAACCTTTCCAATTACTAAGCTAATTTAAAAATCGAAATGGCTATATTCTATAATAAAATTTGCATTTATCGTTTTGACTAGATGTTAGGCATTCAACCAAACGTTATTTAGATAAGGGTGCGTTATAAATAAGCTATCTCCAAAAGTATAATCGATTTTAATAGCCGTATGACGTGATTTTGAATAATATTTCATTCCGATTCCGCTGCAATTTTTCTGTCCCCGTTACGACCTATTAAAATAATTGGCTTATTGATATACATATAAGTAATTTGACGTAGGTATTTCCATTAATCGTAAAGAAATCGAAAGCGTATTTATGAAATCCTTCCGTTTTATTTCGAAATTTGTCAATTCAAGGGTTTGTTTATACGTTTAAAGGTGATAAACTTTTTTTGCCGGCCTTTCGCAATAGGTCTACAATGAATGATGCCTAATGAAATGTATTTTATCGAATTCAATCAATGTAAAAAACGTATCCGAAATCTCTGATCATTAGGTCTTTAGATTGCACATTACTCGAAATCCAATTTAATTCCCAACCATTTTTTATCTAGGTCTAATATATTTCTAAAGCAACTTAATGCCTCGCATCTTGTACAAATTTTTACTAAGGAGACTATCTCCATTTCCCAGGGGACTGGATTTAAATCGCTCTGAACAAGTACATAAGAATCTTATATGTTATGAATGGCCCTTTAATGGTTCCGCAAGTAGAAAGCTACTTTGAATGTCATACACGTAACCGACATGTGAATTATCGAACCTAGCTCATCAGTCTATGTGTGTGCGATTAAATATCTTTTGTCCAGAAAAGTAACTGAACAGTAGGAGCCTTGGATAATCAAATGCTTTCTTTCTCTGCAAAACCGTTTGTCCGAAATACCGGATGATTCTGGCTTTTAGTTAAAGTTGTTAAAAAAAACAAAAGCAATTGTTTAATAATATAAAATGCCTTTATTTAATTTTTTGCATATGTATAATGTCGTAATTGCGCTGGATATGTTACATTTGGTGGTACTCCAATAATACAGTTTTTTCCCCTACAGATTCTGTGGAATACAACTGCTTTAATAAATGGAACGTTTTTGCATACCTTTATATTGTGGTGTCAGGCAATTGTTGACGATGTTTATGTACAACTGGAACTATTTTTATTTTTATGAAATTTCAATTATATTCATCGAATGTTTGGATTTTCGATTTTTATCGAATTTTTTCTGCATTTTAACTTTTATGTGCTTTCCCGGAGAAACATCCTTTGAACTTTTCGAATTTTAATTTGGAATTCTCTACTCCGAGTTATTTTCAAATTTTTCTGAATTTTCCGATGTTTTGAATATTTTTTCTCTTATAGCTCAAAATATTCAGACGTAGGTACATAATTAATAAATCTTTATTCAATCAAAGTAGTGTTGTGAATTTTCTAAGAATGTAGTATTCAGAGAGGCGCAGTTGTATTATATAGAAGTTACTTACTTACTCTTTTAGAATTATACCATGGACAAACACAAATATAAAACAAATACAGATAAACACCCGTACACTATTAACAAAAAACCCTCAACCCTCATAACACAATTGCACCAAACACAACGACAAAATTTACGACAATACTTTTATAACAAATTAGACACCAGTCCGACACAAAACAGTAACACATGCAGACAAATCTTACACGCCTATACGAAGCTAATAATATACTCCCACCCACATCGTAACTTACATAC